TGGAAAGTTCTCAGACGCAGAATTAAAACAGTTCAGAGTTCAGAGTTCCTCTTCTCTTTGCCAAAAAAACTTGAACTGATAAATGTTCATCTGAAATTCAACTCGCTTCATAAATTACATCTCCTTGTCATTCAGACGTGTTGTTGACTTTTCAAAGACCTTCAAGGCTCAGTAGTTCAGACATGCCGGGACTGTGAGGATAACATTTGGCGTCTAAGCTGCTTCTCACGCGCAGACATGACAGGAAGTGACATCTAACACCCGCCTGACGTGCGGTGGAAGCACAAGACTGTCCCTGAGCCGATCGGATGGATGTTAAAAATATATATATTGGTTGTATTTTTTCTCCTAAAGTGATTTTCTCGGTTTGCAGTGTAAGCAGGGCGTCATCTGTAAAGAACTTTAGTTGGATATGTCAGAAAATGTCTGTTAACAAGTTATTATGAGTTTGATTCTGTTATTATTAACTTTTTGTGACGGTAACATTAAGTTATTATGAGTTTGATTCTGTTATTCTTGGCTCTTGGCTCCTCCCTCCGACACCTCCCCAAATATGAGGCTCCACTGAATCCACTGGCACCTCCTGAGTGTTGGTAAAGGTCATGAAAGATTATGAATCTCGTGCAGCTTCAGGCGTTTGAAGTTAATTTGAATCCTAGATCAAACCGAGTCGTCTGTCGGAGTATTTCCTTCGTATACACATCATGTGAAAACACATGCACACTCGTCACACCCTCTTCTTATATCAACTTGTGGCGGCCGCCTTTGTTTGCTCCTTTACATTTGGCTAAGAGTTAGCTACTCATTAGCTCCTGCCTGATGTGCAGTGTGGGTTTGCTACCAGTTAGATAAAAGCACGTTTGTCTTTACCTCTTCAAAAAGCTTTCTTTTCAAAGCTTAACTTACGTTTCTCCGTCTTTTGTTTCCAAGAACCAGGTTTTACTGCCGTTCTGTTTCTCTGCCAAAAAATCCAAGCTGCATGTGGAGGATTAACTTCTCCCAGCAGGTCTGGCTCTTAGGTTTTTTTTCCCTTAAACTCAGCTCTTCTCTCACAGCTTCTTACACATTAACACACGGAATCAGGAAATGAAAGTTACCTGCATGTGTGTGTGTGCAGGACTGTGTCTGATTATGTCGCCGCTGCACCACAAACAACACCAACCGCAAACCAACCCCACTTCTCGGCGTCTTCCTGGACATTTCGCAGAAATCCAGACATGAGACTTGAGTGTCGTAGAAAGTGGGTCGCGGTTGTGTGTTGTCTCACTCTGCAGTCCGGCTCCAGTCCCAGCGGCTCTACGGCCCCCGAGGCCTTCTTCTCTGCTGCTACATTTAGGTTACAGCCCGTAGGATGGGATGGATGTGTTTGAAACCGAGTCTGTGTCCTGTCACAGACATAAAGAAAAAAAAAACAATGAAATATTGGTCTGTGGTTTCAAAGGAAGGGAGCAGGGAGAGTTTGTCTCCCCTCCTGGTCCAAATCCTGAGACCAGAACAGACTCACCGTTGTTTCGCTGATGTCTGGACCGTTCGCCCTCAGACAGACTGATGCTTTTGTTTCAATGAAGAAAAAAAAAAAATCCAAATCTCTTCTTTTGAATTTTCAAGGCACATATATGTGGACAACAACATGGAGAAACAAACAAAAAGAAATAAAACTACAAATCTATGCAGTTTTCAATTGGGAAAAATATTGAAATTTAATACCGCTGTACACCCTGTGGTTCCCTGCCCTCCACTTTGAGCACCATACCTGTAATTCTAAATATGTTAGTCAGTAATAAAAGTAATAAAAATACTTGGTAAATAAAGTTAAACTAGCTTAAACAACAATAAATAAATAAATAAAAATAATTATTAAGTATTTCTATGTATTGACCTTCGACCTGACAGACAACGACCTTTAAATTCCCTATTTGTTCCGATCTTCTGTCGACACACAGCCCACTTTAACCAGGGTTTTTTTTTTCCATCAGTTAGACGGCGTCTTTGTGTGCGCCGTCGTTGACTGACAGGACGGAGACAGAAACATAATGAAGTGCAGTGACGAGACAATGTGACCGTGTGAGGAGATGAGGACGGAAACGGGACGGAGCCTTTGTTTTTTACTGTCAAGAACCGTCTGAGAAACTCTGGGTTCTGAAATTGTCTTTTCCATTGTGGGGGAAAAAATGATGGGTTGGCAGAAGCCGTTGTTCCCGCTGTCAGCTAATCTGCTAGTTATCAGGGCTGTAAAATCCAGACCAGAGGCTTTTGTCTTTAAATGGCACACTTTGTCCAAACAACAGACGAGACACAGTGCATGCAATCAGTGTATTATTAGAAGACCCAGAAAAGGGACAAAACTGAAGTGCTTTTGGGCAAAAATGTTTCTTCGCAAGTCAATTATTTTTTGTTAATAGTTTTGGTCTCAGATTAGTCTCGAGGTCTGGGTCACATCAGAGACCGTTTTCTAATTACAGCCTTAATGACAAGCTTTTAAAATGTGTAAAAAAAACCCCAAAAACCTGGAGACGTTTGTGACAGGAAACGTTGTTGTTCAGTTTATACGCTGTTAATTTGTTACATGACTGTCGTCTCTGACCTAGAGGTGAACTGAGGTCAGTCAGGAATCAGGCTAATCATGACTGTGTCTGTGTGCAGTTTACACTGAAACAAGATCCTGGTGTTTCCTAAACATTCACATGTTTAGGGGGCGCCGTAGGTGAGACAGTGATAGACCGTGGTGTGAAGCTTAAGTCCATAAGATCCAAGTTGATCCATGTTAGCAACAAGAGAGACCGTGTTGTTCATCATCATCAAACGCAACGTTCAGATCAGATGATGACGCTGATTTGTTGATTTTTTTAAAAAACACCATGACCTCTGTTTTCCCCTGTGTCCAGTCATGTCCAGTAAATGAGCACCAGAGAGTCAGGGTCAGCGACCTCAACCGCTGACCTGAAACAGAAGAAAGTTCAGTCTGTAAACATTGGTGTGTCTGTGTTGAGAGAAGAGAAAGTGAATTCCAAAAATGATGACGATGCGACCATACGCTGATGACGTTTGATTTAGTTTTCAAAGTTCGACCGTGTTCAAAATTATGCGGTTATAGGCTGATGATATTTGATTTATTTATTTGTTATTTTGTTACTTTCAGCCTCCAATCTAATGTCCTGCTAAAGGTGTCGATGTCAAAGACCTTATGGAAAAGCCAATATCGCAAAAACACGTCTCATTCAACTGGACCAAAAATAGCCTAAAAATACGTCAAGAGCTAAAATTGGTTTGAAGCAGTGTCGTTAGCTACCTAATACACAACAATTTAGCATTTGTGTTCACGACAGGAGAAATGCCTTTCATTTTTTAGTCTGTTTACTTGCATGTAGGCTAGGCTAAAAGGTTCGTTGCCTTGTTTTTCATTGTCTTTTGTCTCTGATGTGAAAACTCTGAAGGACCATATTTTAACAAGCTCGGTTCCCATGCACCGCTCTGCCCTCCCTGCAGTCCACTTACAGGAACAAGGAGCACTTAAAGAAAGAAAAACCAAGAATCCTCGTGGTCATCCAGACCGAGTTGGAAACCAGTTCCTCAGCTCTGGATGTGCCACTCTTATCCCTGCCCTGCCAAACAGCGGTGCCCGCAGGTTTTCGGTGTTATTGTTGGAGAAAGTAGTTATGCAGCAAATCTCCACTAGTTAATGGAAGCCTCTGAATTTTTAATAAGTAGTTGCAGCGTCCAGAAAGATTGAGAACCGTACTCAGAGTGAGGTAATTTGCTCATTTAAATTCATCCTCTAGTTGGATTTAATCCGTCTCGTAAATGCAGTTTGCACTGGATTTAGGAAAGTCGGGGATTACGGAGGATGGTCGTTGGCAACTCTGCTGGTTAAGGAAAAAGACACAAATCCGTGGAGTTGGATAATGAAGTGACTTGTCAGTCAAGAAGTGTTAAATATCCGGAATCTTTGGGTTGCTAGAGTCTTTCCAACCTTTCGTCATGCGGAGACATTTTCCAGCGCAGTTTCATCTTCCAGACATTTTACATTTTGATTTAAAAAAAAGCTGTTGTGGATGTGGGAGGTGCATGAATAGACACAGTTAGTGTCTCACTAGTTAACATGTCGGCACCAAAATCGCACTGACGTCTCTGCGGTGTAACAGTAACTCATTCACGTTCAGCAGAACAGACATTCACACAGAGTTAACATCGCGGCGTTAAAAGGATCAGTTCCAGAAAAACGTCTTCTCCTTCGACGTCGCCCTGACGTTACGGCTCTAAACACCTGCTCCTCTAGAGGGAAACGCTCACAAAAACCTCTTGCCTCTGCACCTCCACCGGAAAATAAAACAGTGCCGTTGTGGACCCGCGGGATTCCTACGGCCCACACACAGAGGAGCAGACTCTGGTGCGGAGCCAGGGCGGCTCATTAGGTACAGAGGCTGTAAATCCAATCGCTACGTGCAACGTCAGCGTTCATGCCGTGGCAAATAAAAGTGCGGTTAGCTTCGGTTCACAGTGTCATATGTTGAACGTGAGTGTGAGTGAGGTTGTTTTTTTAACACCTAGCATTAACTGCATCTTTCCTTCTCACTGCAGAGATGAAATAATAAAGTGGGATTTCCACTTTGTTTCCAGCAGTAACAGAGCTCCAGTTAGCCTAGCTTAGCACAGCCAAAGCCACGTCTGGTCTTTATTTTTTACAAATGTAAAGTTTTTACTTGGCATAAAATCAACATTTTTGCATTAACATTTAAATACTGTTTAATAATAGAGTTTAAAGAGAGTTTAAACCAAAATTGCTAATAGGCAAAGAAGAATATATGTAGGAATAGCTAAGAAATTGCCGACAAATCTAGCAAATAAAACCTGAATTTTTGTCAGTGTAAATGTAATTTTGATATTTATTTAAATTCTTTATTAAAACAGATAATGTAGGTATTTATAGCTATTTCTGGAAATCAGCAGAAAAATCATGGAATAGCAAAAATAATTTCACTATTTTCTTCTTTTTCTTTCAGCTTTGTCCCTGAAAGAGTAGGCCTCGCTCTTACTGCGTCTGGAGGGTGGAACTCACAGAGTCGATGGGTTTGACATTAAAGCACCAAAGCTGCAGGAGGAGTGGCCTACGACTAATTGAGTGATACAATTGGTGTTCAGGTCAGTACAATAATCTGTGGAGATTAATTTGCTTCTTCTAAATTAACCACAGTGACACAGAACTACAGACCCCAGGTCTGTAGTTCTGTGGTGTCTGCAGGTGTTCTGCAGGTGTCTGTAGGTCATGTTGTTGATAAGAACTGGCCCAGGTTGGTCTGGATGTGACTTTTAGTTAATGATGCTGAACAGGTCTGTCTGGGACTAAACCCTGGGCGGGTCACAAAGACACAGGTCATGAAAACCACAGCCATGATTGTAGTCTTGAAAACACAGTTTATCCTAGTTTTTAAATCTCACATTTCCCTGTAAATGAGGCACAAAGGCCTTCACTAAAAGGTCAGTAAATGTCACGGGTTAATCTGGCCGAGGTGCTGACGCGGGCTAAGTCTTACAGTCCATACAGTAGGGCTCAGACAGGTCTAAACCTGCTGTGGCCGTTTCAGGTAAACCCAGTGTCAGACGTGGGAGCTTGAAAGATGATCCCTCCGTGCGCTGCCATCTCTTTAGCCCGGGATTGAGCCAAGGAAAAGGGGGAAGTGTCTGGTTTCCAGTGTTTTTTAAACGCAACACAGAGAGAGTGTGTGTGTGTGTACACCGAGTCCTCGTTGCACTGAGGCTCTGTGGGAAAGCGAGGAAGAAAATACCCCCAGCGGAGAGAGCGTAACCTGAGAGTTGAAACACTTAAAGCACAGAAGAACTCAGGTATTTCCCCCGCCTTGTTAAAATCAAATCCTCGGGGACGGCACGAGGGCAACATATGTCACCGCGCAACTCAACGAGCGGTTGAGTCATTAGAGCAAAGACAGAAAAAGACTTGGGTCAGTTGGAGATCAGTGTTCCTGTTTCCTCTTCTGACTTATTTACGCTCGTAAAAAAACGCACACACGTGGACATTAATCATGGAGAATACGATGCCATCCAACGGTTAATTAACCCTCGCATGGATGGACTTTGAAACCAGCCAATCAGGAGTCGATCTGGGTCCATGTGGTTTTCAAGAAAAAACAAAGCGATCCCACATAGGGATGTCCATTATTAAGTTTTTGCTAATATCCGATATGCCGGTGCACTTAATTTCTGATTCCAATATCAACCGATACCGATATATCCTCCAAAACCGTAGTAAACATCTTAGTACCCCAAAAGCATTCCAGTATTTTGGCGAAAAACCCAGGAATTGCGTTATCGGATCTTCATTATCGGAGGCA